TATGAATGGTCGCCAGTTGATCAATTGGATTTTTATAACCTTATTTCCTCTCATTCCTAGCTCATTAATCCTCTTTTTTGCCTAATTGGTTTGAATTGGATCATTTTATGATGTTTGAATTTTATTTGGGCTTTATTTAATTTTTCCAGTATTCGGCAAATTTTGATACTATTTGGTTTCTGGACCATATCTTGAGTTGTAGAACTCATTTCATTGTGATTCTTGATTTGTAGTAAAGCTAAGAGAAAGGTGCACAATTCCTATGAGAGGTCAGAAACCAATTTTGATGATAAGAAGCTGAAATTGGGCCTGGAAAAAGTCGAAATGCTGTAGTCGCGGATCCTGAGCAAGGTGCAGTATTTGGGCCATATCTCCGTCCACAGACATCCGATTAAGCCCATTCTAGTGGCGTTTTGAAGCTAACATCCAACGCTACAATTGTCCTTCAGGTCACAAACCAAAAAGAGGCCGTTTTCATAACTGAAAAAAAGGAACAAAGTGACGAATGAAATATTTGAATTTTGAATTTTAAATTTTAATTTTTTTGGCTCCTCTCCTCTTTTCTTCTCTCTTCTCTCTCTGTTTTCATTTTTTTTCTCCCCTTTCACGAATTGTTTCCCTCCATCCATGGAGGCTTAGATTTCTATCTAGTCCAAGGATTGAAAGAGGGCTGAGACACTCTTGAGGATCAGTTTTGCAATTTATTCAACAACAAATTCGGTTTCATCTCTTTCTTCTTTCTTCTTTTGCTAATTATGATTTCGAATTGAAGTTCCTCATTTGGATTGATAATTGTGCAGCTGTTTGATTACATATTATTCGGTTGATGTATGTAATTAATTCTTGAAGGAGTGTGAATTAGATTTTCATATTTGAAATCTAAGATTAATGGCATTGGTGAATTAAATTAACACAAATCGATTAGGTTCTAGAGGTTTCTGAACTTTGAGCGAATTGTGTGTTAATCAAATGCATGAGGGTTCTCGTGTGAATGCGTAATTTGAATTGATGTTTCATTCGAATTTAATGTTAATCACTAATTTATTGGTTGATGCATCTTCTTGGAATCCGGTGATAGAGTGGTCGTAGTTCTTCTAAATTCTTGGATTAAAGTTTTCAATTATTTTTAACTTTTGATTCTAATTAGTTATTCTATAAATCAAACCCCCTCTAAAAATTTTATAATCGTATAACGTTATCATCGTTGGGAGACGACTCGGATTGCACCACTTACTACATAATTTTTATGCAATTTGATTTTTATTAATTTGTCCGAGAGCGACACTCGCGATCACCGGTTACCCCCGCTTCACGGATACCACGTGGGCAGTCACGGGTTGCTCAACAAAGGTAATGGTCAGAGGTCTAGTCAAGAAGAGAGTATGTGGCCCATGATGCACCCGTTCCACAGTCAGTGTCACCACCACTCCCCCTTTCCCAAGGTATTTCTACCGTCTTCATCTCCCACACCCCCAGTGTATCGCTGAACCATTCACAGCACATTACAACGGCGTTACATGCCCCAATCACACACATTTCAGTATAGGCATATAGCCCACATTTAACAGTACACGACACTAGGCCCATATTTGTTCAACTTTATGGCACTAGACCCATATTTCATTTTCACAACACACACAGCACATAGCCCGCAATTCATTCAAGACACACGGCCCCTAGCCTATTTCCATTCATATTACACGGCCCTCGGGCCCACATTTTCACAATGTTCATTCAGATATACACACATGTATAAACGGCACAAGTGCCCACATCACATATCTCAGCAATTTTCTACCCTCTACTCAGCCACATCACAATATCACACAAATATCAACAAATCACACATAAAAGAGTAGGGTAGAGTCCCCCCTTACCTTGGATTGAAGACCCACGCCCGAACTCAACCACGGAAATGCTCCCCACATGGCTTTCGGCCTAAACACATGAAAGAATTCCGTGAGAACCCCGAAAATGACCAAGAACAGAGAAAGGGAAGGAAAAACGAAAATCCTAACCGTTTAAAACTCACCTCCAAGCGTTTCTCACACAAATCCGAGCTCCAATCTCGCTCCTGAACGACTTTGGAGGCAATTAATTGGTGGAATAGGGTTTGGGAGTGAGACAATCAAAGGGATTTCGAAGGGAGAGGGAGAAATTACTCTCCCCGAACCTAGCCCATTTTAAATCCTTTTCTGGTCGCGACACTCTTGCTACAGCGAGAGTATCTCGCTGTAGCGAGGTCCCCTCACTGTAGAGACACGCCCTCTCGCTACAACGAAAAAACCAGAGAAAACTGCACTCTGATTTCTGCAGAATCTCACTACAGTGAGACCCTCTCGCTACAACGAGACTACACCCAGAAATACACCCTAAATTGTCGCTTTGTCGCTACAGTGAGACGTCTCTCGCTACAGCGAGAAGGCGACAGTTTTGGTCCTTCCTCCCATGGTCTTCTCACTACAGCGAGAATCCTCTCGCTGCAGTAAGAACAACCCAGTATCTCGCCTTATATTTAGGCACTTAGCCCATTTCAGCCCAACCAGTCATACATACACATATCCATGTAATTAATGCATATAAAACATAAATAAATCAACACACATATGAATATATATATATATATATATATATATATATATATACATATATGAATAATAATAATAATTAATATTACCAAAATTCGGAGCGTTACAACTTCAGCAGAATAATATCCTCTTCAATAATAGTGTGTTAAACGCTAGTAAAATGTTTGATTCTTAACTATCAAGACTTGTTCTTGAAAGTGGCTTGCAACAAGGCCTTTGGGAAGATCAATTATATATGTAAATTAGATTAATGATCATTTGACATGTATTGTTAATTCCCTTTAGAGTTGTAATGGGTTGGAGTACCTCTTGTACTCTAAATTTGTCCTTAATAAAATGTTGATGTTTAATAAAAAAAAGTTATACTTTTTTAATGTATTTATATTATAATAATATTTATCATTATTTTTTAATATCTTACAAATATAATAAAATAATACATTTGTGTTGCTTATGTTTAAAATTTAACTGTTATTATTTAAATTTTGTAATCCAAACTACATAACTTTGTTATATGTAATTAATTATTTTATAAAATTGATTTGTTTATAATATTAATCAATAATAATTCGATCAAGCTACTAAACAATATAAAATAAATTAATTAAGATTTTAAAAATACGAAATTCCATATAGTTTTAAAATTCACATTGTTATTTCTTTTAATTTATAATTTTAAAAAATATTTTTATATGTTAATCAACAATTGAACTTAAAAAATTAAAAAAATATATTATATTATAATTTGTGTTTGTGTATGATATTTTTATAAATTAATTATATTTCTATAACAATAAATAATTTTATTTCTTTTACAAATATTATAATTTTATATGTAATTTATATTGGAATCATATTTTATATACATTGAGAAAATTGAGAAAACAATTGATAAAAGAATTAAAAAAAGAGCTTATATACACTATAGAATTTTTAAGTGCTTTAAATTTTAATGAAATTTTTTACCTTATTTTATAACTTAAATAAAAAGCTCTAATTATACTATTCAGAAAGATCAATCCTTTATTAAAAACGTGCAATAAAATAATACTCATTATACATTTAAGAGCATAAATAATTAAAAATAATATAATTACATTAAATAATATTGGTATTAAAGTACTCATTTTATGAGTAATTTTAAAGTCACTATTAATGACTTTAACTTATCTTTATTTTAAAAAGAGAACAATTTTTAATAAAAGTATAGTATATAATAATAATAATAAATTTTAAAAATAATAATTGAATTATAGTAAATTATATTTAACAAAATATGTATTTATTTATGTTCAATTCTATGTTACATTATCTAAAATACCATAAATAAAATTTTTTATTGTTGAGGACAATAAAAAATTAAAAATATATAAAAAATATTGTATATAGTGAAGTATTTTATAATTTTTTTTAAGTATAATTATATTTAATATAATAAATTTTTATTACCATTTAATAAATAATAAATTAATATTTTTCTATAAAATATATTTCTTTATATTTAAAATATAATGATTTTTAAACAAAATAATTTAATAAAAAATATAAACAAAGTCACGAGCATGTTTACCAGTTACATTTGTGTAATTGTATCTCATGCTTATAAATTAACCGATTCGAAGGGAAAATGGTTTTGAACCGCGAACAAAGGATACCCTCGGATGTCTCCTTTCTATTTGAAGTGAACTTTTGGCAAGTGTGTAAAAAAAAAAAGAGAAATAAAAACAATGATATACAGCATTACATACGGTGAAAATATTCAATAATTTCAACGAAATTGCTTTTAAAAAAATAATTCCCAAACACAAATAAATTATTTTAACTATCGTTATTTTGAAAATAATTCAACAAAAAATAACAGCCAGAAATTATTCGAATAATTTTTCCATATAGTTGTCATGTTAAGTATGGAGTAATTTCCATCCGATGTTTATTGGTGTTTGCTCAGTAGTTGTATGGAAAGAGAAGTTTTGGAGGAGAGGAGAGGACATAAATTTATATTTTAAATAAATATATTTAAAATTAATATTTTTTAAAAATAAAAAATATAAATTAATATATTAACAAAAATTTAATATGTTGATAATATATTTATTATCATAAATAATATATAATTCTTTTAATTTAATGTTAAAAAAAATGTTTTACTTCCCTTTCCCTCTAAAACCCTCCTCCTAAACAATACGTTAAGAAATTCAAATTTTATCTAGTAGTTCAATTGGGAGCAGCATTGGGAAACTGTCTTTGTTGTTTCAGTTTGAATGCCACTAGAGAGTAGCCGTGTGCTTCCCTTTCCACTACACTCACCCAAAAAGGGAAAATAAAAAAATTACACATCATATTGATATGAACTATAAATGTTTATCTGAGAGCCAATTGGATATTCATTCACTGCACATGGTAAATCCTGTAGATATCCACTTTAACCATATCGATCTTCATAAAGCAATATTGTTGTCTGATGCACAAAAATGATTTCAGGACATGCATTTATAAATCTCATAGGGAAATAATCTTCATATGTGAATGCTTTCCTTTAGAACTTAATTCTCCATCATGGTCATGAAAAATTAGAGTCAAAACCCCAACCAAACACAGCACTGAACCAACAAGGAGTTTGTCATACCGCTCTATCCAGTGAAACTTCAGCTGACTGGCTCCATAGAATGATAATGCTACCAGTGAAGTCATTACAGTTATTGTACTGTCAATGAAATATTACCATGTGTTAGCTTCACAACAGTAAAAATATTCAAAAATAAAACTTTCATTAACTCGACTGACATCTGAACCACCTTAGCAGTTATCACTATTCTGCTATAAGAAAGTTATAAGATTCCAATGATTATACAACATACAATTTGGTAAAACAGAACACAAGTAAAACACAACACAGAAATTAGGATTGTTCAATTTTATATTTTACCAATTAACCTGCATCTTGCAATAACAATCAAGCTATAAAGCTGAGCAGCCTTCTGAAATGATTAGCTTCATATTTGATGTTTTAGCAACTAATAACATCACTTGCATAGTTTACTTTTCTAGGATAAATCCTTGTGGAAAAATTATTCATTAATGTGGTCCCTTGCATGATATATTAATGTTATAGTAATGGAGATTTCTTTCATATCTTTCTGTCTCAATCGCCAATACACTTTTCTTCAGGTGGAAGGTTGCATAACACGGATTCCCAATATACACATCACTATCAATAATAGCACATGCACAAAGATCCACCATAGACCAAACAAGCACACAAAAGCGAAAACGTGGAACTTTTCAAAATTAAAAAGAACAGTATTTAAATCAGAAAGCTCTAAATTATCAATACAACTTATAGAGACCTGAATAGTAGCACTATGATGGCGAGCACCATCATGGAAGATGAATTTCCAACAGCAAGAAATACCGGAAGTGTTGTGGCACAAGGAGACAATGCAGGAACAAGAACAAGGCCAGCAACAGCCATTTTCTCCATGGGTTGATTGTGTGAATGACTGTGGCCACCCTTTCCAGTCAAAAACAACAGAATATAACTACCACCAAGAAACACTAGCAAAAGTGACGCAATCTTATGAACTGTTTCTTCACCGGCGATGGTGTTTGCCATGGTAATTGCAGTTATACCAAGAAGTGCAGTGGATATTACATGCAAAATTGCTCCTAATGCAGCTGCATGAACAAAAAGGGCAAAGTAAAAACAATTCCAAAGTTAATGCCAGAACAGTCTTCTGAAGATGTTAACACCTCCAGATTTTTTTTTTTAATAAAAAACAACTAATATTATTTAGTCCAAAACACATTTTAAGTTATATTTATTGTAAGATGTGTGCTTAGTAGACACTCACTTGGTGGTTAAATTAATTCATTTAAAAACCATTTAAATAACAACTTATTTAAGCATTTTTTCAACAAATTCTTATTATATAAGGAATTGATATAATAAATTTTATCATAAAATTTATTAACATAAGTTAAAATGAGCTTACAAAATCATAAGTTATTCTTATAAAATCTTCCTAAGTTCTTTCAAACACACCGATAATATATAAATTATTAATTTGACCATTTAATACCATAAATATTTTGAAAATATAATATAAATTTATAATATATATAATTACTTTTTTTTATTCTAGATAAATTCATTATTTTTTTATAAAAAAACCGGAAGTAGTAAGTCTAATATACATAGTATTTCTAATATATATAACTTTTTATTGTGTTATCTTAGACAGATTTTTACTGCAAACTACAAGATTCAGAGCTACCATTTAGAATAATAACTTGTGATTTTTAATTTATTTTATTGTGTGTCTAAAAATTGATATATATTTTGTTTAAGAATGAAAGAAAAGAGAGAGAATGGACATACTAACGAGAAGAGTTCTGGAGAGAGTCCATTTCTGGACACGAGCGACGACGGAGAAGGGAAGCCAATGGGTGGGAATGAAAGAATGCAAAAGCGACACCGTTGCGATTCCTCCGAGGGTTGGAAGATCCTCAGCCGTTACTGTTAGACTCTCCATTATTGCATAACTCTCAGATCTATTCACACACACGTCATTGGAGGAAATGCTCAATCCAATCAATGCTTACTCTTTTCACAAAATGAAAATTTCTGTTATCACCACTTGGAGAGATGAGAAAATGGAGAATAAGAGTGGGATCTGAGAAAATGAAAATAGAGCCAAGAAAGAGAGAAATAAGTAGAGAAACGTGGATTGTTGCTTCAAACATGCGTAAAGCTCATAGTGCCCCGGGGCTGTTGTTTAAAAGTAAAACTCATTCTTTTTATAATTTCAAAAATATAATAAAAAAGTTCTATTTTTAAAGTTAATTTAAATAAATAAACAAATAAATAAAATTAATTTTCTTTTTTTATTTGTTTCTGTTCAAATAATGTATTATTTTGACTCTTTATTTTTTATTTATATCTTTTTTCATTTTTATTTATTTTATCTCAGATTTATTCCTTATCTAAATATAAAATAAAATTTATGACTAAAGATTAAGTTAGATAATAATATAATATAATTAATAATATATTTTATACAAATAAAAATTCGCTTATTCATGAAACAAGTCACCTTAGTTAGCATTTTAGTCTATTAATTTTTCTTTTATTCTGATTTATTTTTTTGCTTTAATTGTATATTTATGAATTACAATAGTAAAAAGAAAAGTCTGAATTGACCCAAAATGTCATAATTTTCAACAATTAAATTTTAAAATTTGTAAGAAAAAGATCAATGAATAAATTTTGAATAAAAATTAAAATATATTTAAAATTTTAAAATTATACTCAATGTGGGCACTAGTATCTTTATTGAGCAACTTTTTAATAGAAATTAAAATATATTCAAAATTTTTTTTTGTAACTTTTCATATTTTTAACTAAATAAAATAAAAAAATTATACGAAAATGAGTATTATTATTTTAAGAGGAAGAGCACGTACTCACCAGGATAAATGTTGTTGGTTGGTAAAAAATTTTCCTTAAACTCAGGTAACAAAATAAATTTACTGAAAACATAACTTTTAATTTTATTTTCTATTTATTAATTTATTAATTATTTTTTTAGATTAACGGTTCACAAATTCATATTTTATTATCGAAGTGATTCATATTTAATTTTTCTTTAGGTTTTGTTTGGAAGTTTGGAGAGAAAAGAAAAGGAAGGATTTGAAAGGAGAAGGAAGGGAAGAGAAGGGAGAGAGAAGGAGGTTAAACCTCTCCCTTGTCTAGATGTTTAATATTGAGAAAGGGGAGTGACTATAAGGTTTACTTTTATAAATAATTTTAAAATTAAAATTTTTATTTTTTAAATTTTTTTTAAAAATTATTACTTGAAAAACTAACATTTAAAATTTTTTTAAAAAAAATCCTATTTGTAAAATAATATGAAAGAGTGGAAGAGAGAAAACTTCAAAATGGAAGAACTCAAAAAACAAGCTTTTGGAGGGTTTAGAAAAACACTCAAAACCTTTCCCTCCTAATTAAGCAACTCCCAAACAAGATTAATTCTCTCTTAGTCCCTCCCCTCCCTTCCCTTCCCCTCCTAAACCTAACTCCCAAACATAGCCTTAAATAGCGTCTTAAGTTTGAATCTCATATATATGAATAAAAAATGTTATTGAAAAATAAATCCTATCATTATGATATAAACATGTTTTACCTGAAAAAAAAAAGTTCTTATAAATTTTATCCGTAATTAGACAAAATAAAAAAGACAAGATAATTTTATTTTTATTTTTTATTAAATAAGATATTTTTGTTATCACAATATACATTAAAATTATCCAACTTTTGAACACAAGTCCGCTATTTGTGCAAAAATTTTAGCTATTAAATTATTTTGTTACAGTAATGGGTTGTATTTATTTTCTATTCAACTAGTCACACTACCCATGCTATGCATTGGTCAAATGATAACAAAATAATTATAAATTATAAATTTATTTTTTAAAAAATAAACTATTGACAATTGTACTTATTGTTTATAACACCTTTATTTTATTATCTAAATTTTCAAATAATTTATATATATGATAGAAAAATAAAAATAAATTCATTAATACTCTTAATGCAAAATTTCAACAAAAATTTAAAACTTTTATCTTCATTACCTAATTTATAAAGTATATTATTATTGAAAATGAGAAAAGATAGACATTTATCGTATCTGTTTAGTCTATAGAATAAATTTACACCAAAACTATATATATATATACTTTCATTCAATTACAAGAGTTTAATAATTACAAACCATAATTCTAAAATATAAATTATGACTCATTTACATAATTTACAGAAATCAAAATAACATAAGTTCTCATGAGTAGTTTATTTCTATACCAAAATATTAAAGTACTATCCTAGTCGTCGTCTCCAAACTAACTCTTTAATTCTTCCAATTACGCTAGAGTCAGGTCCTCGTTATAAAAATCTATAGCATCAACAACAATCTTGAGTGAATCGAACTAGTCTTCTAAAGTGATCATGATCGTGAAAAATGTATACAAAATTTACTGCTACATCTTATTATTGACAGGGTAATCAAAAGGGACATTATATCCCATCGTCATTTCTATAGTAAAAACATTTCCTGATTCGTTATTACAATCTACAACAAATTTACAATAGCAAATATATTGTCATTTGCTAAATACATAGTTTAACCTACTGCTTACTAGCCACTTAGATAGTCAAATGGGTCTCTGGGGAGGGGTCATTTTGCTTTCTATTAATATTTTGTAAAGATGACCTTTTCTTCTCACCACTAAACATGATCAAATTAATAGTTCTACAACACACACATAATAAATAACACAACAACCAATCATAAATGCTAATTACATAAACAGTAATTTCACATGCATACACTACTTATTAATATTAAAATTGCATTTTAATAATGTTTTTAGTCTTCCTGGGTCTTTATCTTAATCATTCATTGCCCCTGGGACCCCTTGAGGTCTTCTTTTGTATAGATAATCGATGGTTAGTTATAACAACATAAATACAATCTGTGCCAACGTGACTCCTTTTAGCAAAAGCATGGTTAGGAGTTTAGGTCAATAAATGAGTGTGAGACCTGTGATTTTTTACTCTCATGAATTATGCACAATCAAAGAAAAGTATTCACCATCCTCATTTTTTCCAGATTTCTAAAATTGTCTTCATCTTCCACACTCACAATGTATCTCTATAACTATCCATACATATCTTTATCCTCTTTCATTTTTCACTATAACTCCATTCTTTTTCATTTCTCATTATGATATAGATTCCTCACTTTTATAATCAATAATTTTCATCCTTTTTCCTTTTTCATTATAAATTCAAGTCTACTTTTCATATCATACATCAATCAACCATACAGAAAGTCAGACATCTCCAGACTTAGTCCAAATCATATATTCTCAACACAACATATACTTCACATCATTCATAAATAAAGAAAATATAACTCATCAATTAAGTAAATGGTCAACAAACTCATTTAAACATATATTTCCAAACTAAAAGAACATATAATCACCTACGCAAACTCAAAATACTTTCAACAATTCACACAAAATCACATTATCACACATCCATGAGTACAAAAATACATCATGTTTTCAGTGATGGAATAAAGCTCTCCTTACCCTAAAGAGATGGTTTAGTTAAGTTTTATGGAAGAGTGTAACATTCAGTATTTTTAAGTATTAATTCAAGAATTATGTGATATTAAGTGTGATTAGAATAGATTTAGATGGAGTTTAAAATTATAATTAAAAAAAATGAACAGTAAGTCTATCATGAACAATAATTCCAGTAATGAATAGTATATTCAGTGATGAATAGTAAGGCGGTGTGAACAGTATCCAAATTAATTTTTTTTCGAGATTTTGCCTATAAATAGAGGTTCTTGCATGAAATCTTCATTCTTCGCACTTTTCAAAGGTTCTAGAGAGACCCAAAGCTATATACTACCATTTTCTCTCATCCTAAACCTCCTAAACTTGGATTTCTCTTTAGATCTGGGATAGTACGTTCATTCTAAGTGATTAAAAGTAAGTTTCTCTAAGTTTGAATCTAGATTTACCGTTTATTTCTCTTCATCTTTAATTTCTTATAGATATCTTATGGTTTTTAGGATAAACTTTGATTTTATAGCAAAATCTTCGGTTAAATCTTTGAGAAATCCTTATCTTAAGGTAAGAGGACTCTACTTTATCATTTTGTTATGTTCATTACATGTGTTCTCATAGATCTTGTTATATATGTGATTATATGTGGAATAAACTTTATTTTGTAAAAAGTGAGAATAATTGGTTGTTTATGTGATTTTATAATGAATATATAAAGATATATGGTGAAAATATGTTATTATGTTGAAATAGAGCATGATAAGGTATATTGAGGATGGTTGATATGATTTTGCGATATGAAATGTACAAAGAAATGGATGCTTCATGTTTGAATATATTGTGGTTCATGGAAAAATGATGTGTATTGTGAATATGCCATGGTTTGATGTATATGATAAAGTATCTAGAAATATAATGAAAAATATGTGTGAACATGTGAATATACTCGAAAGAGTATGAGATGGAAAATGATATGATGTAAATAGTTATAGAGATACACTGGGGGGTGGAAGATGGAGACGATATGAGATATCTTGGGGAAATGCAGGGTGGTGAGTGACATTCGGGATTGTGCACGGAATATTGTGTACGAATGCACAACATGGCCGCACACTCGTTTCTCAACTTGACTCAGGACCATTACCTTTGCTAAGGGGCTTTCTATTGCATGCGTTGTATCCGTATTGCATTGGGCTATCTAGCGACTATTTACATGGATGTGTAAGACCTTGGAATAGAGGCATCGAATAACTGTGGCCACGAGGCACAGTAAGCGCGGGTAAAAGAAAAAAAAATTGTGAATCTGTGGAATATAATGTGTTTATATGTTGAGATGAGAACTTGCTTTATATGATACTATGATATGTAATACTATGATGTTTTCTTTAATTCTGATAAGATGTGTTTTATGATGAATATATGTTATATATGAATGGTA